GGGGAATGTGAGACCCATCAGCAGTGACCTCTTCCAATCAACTTAATTGGCCCAATCTCGCCAAGAAAAGCAACAGAATTAGTTTAGTGCCTCTTGGAAATAGCTTAGCTCCTATTTATGGCCACTGAACTCAAGGATGGGAGCCTGACTCTGAGCCAGGAGTTGACAGCATGTGCTAACTTCTGGGAGGAATTGGAGGTTTCAGTGGGTTTCCGTGCCCCCCTGCGCCTCCATCTTCATCTCTGGGGAAAGCGGCTGTAACCAACTTGCTGCACTGGGCACAAAGAATTGCAAAGACCCAAAGCCCAGGCTTTCCTCTTACCAGGCAGGCTGGACTTTGCTCCTCTTTTATTCAAATGGTGCCTATGTCAAGGACAACTATTATTTTTGCTGTTCTCCAAGTCACATTTGTTTTGGTGCTGTGGTCTGCATAGCTGATGTTAAAGATAAAGAAATGTCTGTCTCTGATCATTAATAACATTGATTCTTAGACTACCTTTCCTCCGAATAGCTCAAAGATCTTAAAGATTTCCATCATCTATAATCTAGGCTTGGTTGCCTCCAGCTTCTGGATTAGTAAACTGAGGCAGTTATAAAAAGTTTTATTTACACAGCGAGTGAGCAGTAGAGATGCGATGAGCATCATGACTACTGATTAAGTTGCATTGTGAAGAGAAAGAGGTCCAGATCCTATTTTCGCAATGACCTACGTACATGCTAGCACCGGTATTTAATTACATTTCATCTTTGTACAGCTGTATACAACTAAACACACCAAGTTTTGATGGGAGAAAAGAGGAATGAACTTTCCTCCTCCTTGAATCATTATATTGCCACTTTACAAAAAGAGAAACAGAGTTAAAGAGATTAAAAAGTCCCCAAAGTCACACTTTTCCCAAATGATAGAACTGAACTAGAACTAAGGCATTCTCAATCCAAAGTCTTCCACTTCACCACCCTGCCCTCAGAAATATCTGTCCCCCATCTTCTGACCAATAGTCAAGCCCTACTAAACTATCTCTTATACAGATGAGTTTCCCCCTAAAAACTAAGGTAGACCCTTAAAATGGCACAGCTGTAACTTCATGAATTCAAAAATGTCATGAGTCAAATAAAGTCCTCCCAAACATACGCCCAACCATGGTCAGAACCTAATCAAATGGGGCTCCCCATCATCTGGTCCAGACAGATAGACATGTGCATCACGAAAGCACAGCCTTCACTCTGTTCCTATCCAGTTGCCTCACTAGTCATCTCAGGGTATGGACTCGATCAACTACACCTTTCTCTTATTCCCCAAAGTCTACGGCCCTTCTTTTGTGTACACTTTTTTTCGCTAGAGATGCACATCTGAGTATCCAAGACAATTTTTATCCTTCCTCAGACACACAGAATTCCTGTAAAAACACATACTGGCACCCCCTTCACCAGAGCCAGAATATCCACACCTCCTATCCACCTGGCTAGTTTTCTCCCAGTTACATTACTCCAGGCCAAAGTGCATATGCACACACGTGCACACACACCACCCCTCAAACACACACTCAGATTAGCTTTACACTCATAGTCCGGAAAACACCAAAGATGACAAACGTCCCCAGTCCATCTCTTCCCTGATCATGACTTCACCATTCTCCAGCTCCACATAACAAGTCTCATTCCAGCTATGAAGGAGGCTCTGTGTACTCTTAGAAACTCAATCTTCAAAGGGATCTGGACCTGCATTCTGACCTGAAGTGCAACACCCTCCAGTTCCCAACCCACACCCCACACAAGAAAACACCATCCAGCTCCCTTCTCAATACACAAAAGTCTACATCATCCCTATCTTTATGCCCCACTTTTTACAAAACCAGAGATGTATTTCAAGTCAGCTTCCCTTTGGCTCCCAAGATCCATAAACATCTCTAGAAACCGAATTATAGACCTTGAAGAAACCTCAACAAGCATCGAGCTCTGTCTATTTCTGGCAAAATTGCATCAGTTAGCTGAGCCTGGAGAAGGAATTTTTCCAGGGCAGCGTGCCATGCTCCAGTACCCAGCAATGGGCTGAGCATCCAGTAGGCACTCCATTAGCTTTAATTGATTATCAATATGAACTGGTGATAGTGAATTCCCCTATTACATAAGAAACCCATTGCAAAACATTATACAACATGCACCCCTGACACTAGGCACAAATAGTGTATTCCTCTACTTACTTCAGTCTTACGCATACATCTCTTCCTGTTCCCACCCAGTGCCAGTGCACAAGGACTTTTCCCCTTAAATGTACATCCCTCATTCTAAGCCTCCTCCAATTCTCTCCTCTCTGGGGAGGAAGCGGGGGGGGAGGCAAACACCAACCCCAACCCGGTGTCCTTTCCTTCAAATGCTTTGTCTCTCCATAAAGAGGATCTGAGCTCACACTTTTCTACCCCCTACATGCCCCAATGCCACTCCAGCCAAATTTCCCAGCGCACTCTCATAAAGTTCACACTCCGTGCTCCCCAGATAATCTTCCCCCACCCCCCACACACATCCCTTTGGTAATCCTCAGGCGCCCAACCTTCCACATGCATCCACCTTTCGCTCACACACACAGCCGCCCTCCTACACCACACCCACTCCATGTGTCTGCGCAGGCATGCACAAGCCATCTGTCTTCAACAGGCTGCACCTCTCCTCCTGCTCTGACACCCTTCATAGGCACAGATTTCGCATTAGCTACACCTATGTTCCTGCAAGCTCTGGTCTCCCGCTAAGCACACAGATGCCCATCCAACAGACTCCCCAGAAGCACACACCTCCCAGGCACCAGAGACGGATGGGACTCCAGCTCTTTTGCCACCTCCCCCTACACACACACACACTCTCTCTCTCTCTTTCTCTCTCTGAAAAAAACATCCCCATCCCTCCCTGACCACGCACTCAATGGTCACAATCTGATTCCACAGATAAGCAGATCCCATTCACACACAACCAAACCCTCGAAGTCCAGCTACACTCCAGTCCTCACCAACACAAAATCCCACACACTCTCCCTACGGGAAATACCCCAGACTTTCTACCTCCCTTCAACACTGTTTACAGGAGCCTGCATTATTTTCCAACCCCCTTAACTCCTAACGCGATACCCACGTCTGTGTGTTTGCGCCCAAGGCAGAGGCGGTTGCATTTTATCCTCTACATGCTACCTCTCAGCTTTCTTTGTGTGACATGTCAGAAAGGAATTGAGGGCAGGCGGGAGGCAGGCTGAGTCTGCTGGAGAACTTGAGCGTTGTGAAAACAGGACCGCTGGAAAAGTCTCTGTGTTACAACTTTCTCCCATCCTGACGTTCAGGACAGAGCGCTTCCATGTTTTCCTCGCTCGCGGTTTTGCGGGGTAGGAGCGGGCATCTCTTTATTTAAAAAGCAGGTCGCTCAGTACACTCCATAATCAGCTGAGTTACAAACATCAGGCTGCAGGAGAAACACCCACCCCTGGCAGGCTCCCCTCCCCTCTCAGCAGGCCCCCGCCCCCACCTCTTCACACACATAAACAAGTCCACAGGCGCACAGTCTCCCGAGCTCTCCAGCTCTGAGCCCGGCGCTCCCGGGAGCAGCCTCCATTCGGACTCAGAACCTGCCGCCCGCCGCCAGAGGCCGAGGCCAGACGGTATTTTTGGTGTTTCCCCCACCGGGAATCCCACCCGAGCCTCGATTCCAGCAAAAGGGATCCTTTCTAGTCCACAGCCCCGACACCGTTCGACGCAGGGGTCTCACTGCTATGCATCTGAAGTGCAGACGACGAACGAACGCAGCAGCCAAACTCCCGCAAAGAAGCAGCGCCTCCTGGACGCGCACCCACTCCCGCGGAGAGCAACAAGCAGACTCCTACTCCCCCACCCCATGCCCTCGGCCCTCGCCCCTCCTTTCCCTACCCTTCAACTCCCAAGCGTCCCAAATTGCATCAGGAGCATCCACCACTGAGTAAAGCTCTGGGGTAATGGGGCGGTTCGGTCCGTCGTAGGACCTTCAAACTTCGACCTGGCTGGCTGCGCCGGTGCCCAGATCTCCCAGCCTCCCACGCCACCGCTTCAAAGTCCGAGAACAGGCTGGACGATACCGCGAGGAGATCCCCAGCGATGACCCGGCCCGGGTGCCCGCCGCTGCCCGGCGGGGTCCCAGATGTGCGGGCTGCGTACGGAGCTCCAGCATCTGCGCAAAGGCCCAGGGTGGGGTGGCCACCGGGTGGGCGCTGGCCAAGAGGAGCCCGGGGCGCGAGGTCTTTTCTGAAAAAAACCTTTCGGGGGACTCCAACGCAGGTACGCGGCGCGGGGCGGTGAGTCTCAACTCCCAGAACTGGAACGCGACGTTCCGGGTCCTGAGCTGCGCGTCCCCTCCCCCAGCCCACGCCCCGGCCAGAGTGGCGCAGGGGCAAGCTGAGAATCAGGCTCAGTGGCCGGCAGGGTGCAGGGCGTGTGCAGGGGAGCTGCGGCAGCACCTCCCCGCCCGGCGTTCTGTCTGCCCGCCCGGGGTTCTGTCTGCCACCCTCTTTTGTTATAGGATGCGCTAGGAGCTTTCCCGGAGGAGCAGACGGGTCGGTTGGGGGTGGTGGGTGGTTGATTCTGTTGAATCCCTTTCCTGCTCTTTCGTCGTCCCCATTTCCCCTCGCCTGCCCCCACCCTTTCCAATCCAGGTCCCTTAAACCTGATCACTTTCCCAGATTGAGGGAAGCTTCTTGGGCAGCCGAGGGACAAGAGGGGAGGAGGTGGAGAAGGGTGTCCGTGTGTGTGTGTGTGTGTGTGTGTGTGTGTGTGTGTGTGTAGCGGCGTGGTTGCGGTTGCGCCCGCCTCAGCAGATCCCAGCGCAAACTTCGGGGAAGGCACAAGCCGGGGAAAGTGAGTGAGCGCGGCGCAATGGGGGTGGGGCGGGATGCGGCGTTGGGGCCCCCCGCGCCGGTTCACTGGAAAATCCCTCCCCACGTGGACCCCCATCCCCAAACCTGCCCACCCAACGTGCCCGCCGCCTCCCCTTACCGTGGCAAAAGTAACCATGGCATCCGTGTGGCCGTTTCCAGGGACGTCGACATGAAGAGAAAGGTGGACGCGAGCTCGGTCATTCAAAGTCTCCCCCACCCCGCCGCAGCCACTACCCAGCAGGGGAAAAAGGAGAGGAAGAAAGAAAGGAGAGAGAAGAAAGTAGTTGCGCCGGGCTGTGTCGCGGGGCGGTGCGCGGAGCTGTTCGGTAGGGAGAGGAGCTTCAACTCTGTCTGAGTCCCGTGAACATAATCTGCGCGGTTATAACCAGCCAACCCGGCCAGATGGCTCCGCGCTCAGCGCCTTAACCCCTTCCGCGCCGCGCCGCCCTCCCCCGCCCGGCCCGCGCCGCGCCGCGCACGCCCGCGCCCCAGAGCCCCACGGACCTCGCTTCGGGACCCACGGCGGGGAAGGAGTCTTTCTCCTAGCCCCTCTTGAAAAGCAAAACGAAACAAAACAACAACAGCAACAAAAACTTCCAAATTAGTAGTAGTCTTCGGTAACCCCCACCCTTGAGTTCCCTTTTAGAGATCCAGGAAAAAACGAAACATTAAATGTATCGTAACAGGTTACATGTTAGTGTCTTCAGCCTTTTTTAGTTGTTCTTTTTCTTGAAATTTTTCTTGTTCATCTCTTTTCTTTTAAGATTTTCTTGACCAGGCATTAGGGCCTTTTCCTGCCCCTTTCCTCAGGCGGATCAGGTCTGAGGCGTAAACTCCTCCTCCAAACCTTAGACCCTTCCAGCTCCAGATCTCTCCCCACCCCTACCAAGCCCACCCGCCACTCCTCCCCCCACCCCACAACACGAACACGCCCAAGGACAATCGCTCCCCGGCGAACTCGCCGCTCCCGGGCACCCGCACCCAGGACGCTGTGCCGGCGGTCAAGGGAGGTCAAGGTAGAGGGGTGTGGGGGCGGGTGGTCCCAGGGACTAGGGAGGGGCTGTGCACGCGCGCGTTTGCGGGAGCTTGAGTGTGGAAGGGAGAAGGAGATGGATCGCAACCTCCCGTTTCACCCATCCTCCAACTTCTAAACCCCTTCCTTCCAAACTAGGATGGGGCCCTGCAGCTCATCACTCGCCCAGCACCCACCAGTCTGCACGCGGGGACAGCGCGAGAAGCAGGAAAGGCGAGCGACAAGCAAGCGTCTTCGTGGCGCCCCGAAAGTAATGACGCTCACTTCCCCACCGGTGGATTCATTCGAGGAAAGGATAGGGGGAGGGGGGCAAAATATCTTATTTGGAGATAATTTTAGCTGCCCGTTAGACCCCACTTGCTCCGAGCCGTTCTCTCTAAATTTACCAAGTTAAGTCATCTTGATTTCGCCCATTTGCCATCGAGAGAAGGGGGGGAAAATACCACCTAGGGATCAACGAGAAATGGAGAGTCCGGGAGCAGAGGTTTGCCCTCTTGTCCCCTTCCCGAGTCCTTGAGTGGTGGACCTCCGCTCCAAGCCCCTCATCCCTTCCTCCCTGCCACTTCAGCCTCTCGTCTCATCATCTCCTTCCAGGACCTTTTGACTCACGAGCGACTGGGGAGGGAAGCGAGTATCCCGTTTCCATCCCTGCCCTGTCGTTCGAGGTGTCTAATAAGCAAGCCGTTCTATGTTTCGGTTAGGGCCCAGGTTCAAAAAATCCAAATACCTTAGAATTGTCTGAGAATTTGGTTGAACCCCGGAACTGCACCCACCAGTTCAGGACCAACCTGCCGCAGAGAGTAGCTGGGGGCTTGGAGGGGGAGGTGGGAAGGGAGGGGGAGTCTGGGGGCTGCGTACTAGATAGATTGTACCTGCCTCATCATTATCCTGGCTGATGGGGGTTGCCACATCGAAAACGGCCAGAAGCGCCCACCGAGGCCCAGAGGCGTCACCTTCTGCGGTCCCTCGCAAGGGTAGGGTCGTCCTTCAGTGGCTCCCCTCTTGCCAAAATATCGACGTCTTCCTCAGGGCCAGAAGAGGCTGCCGAGTCGTTCCCTCCACCCCGCCACACAGCACCATGAAGGTTTGGATTGGGCGTGCTCTGTCGGGTTCTGCTTTTCTCCCTCTCATCTGGCCCGCCTCCCTGCCCTCCCCCACTTCCCGCACTTGCCCCCCTCCTCCAGCTTCTCGCCGTGGTCAAAGGAGGGATTCAGGCCCCAGTTTCAGATCCACTGGCAGAGTTCTTTCCTCAAGCTCCAGGTCCTCCGGGAACCTGAAGATTACAAGGAAAGAGGTGGTTGGCTCCTGCTGCAGCAGGGAAGGGGTTAAATACATGTGCGGGCTGATCTGCAGGCAGCTCCCGGGTCCCTGGCAGTCTGGAGGGACGAGGGGAAGGGGGGCAAACAAACTTGAAAAATCAGAAGAAACGAAGAAGAAGAAAAGGCAGCAAGCCGTGCGTTTAGGACTTGGATTTGTTCTGCAGATGCCTTGCACTGGTTGGCCGCCTCACTTTGCCAGGACTTTCGGGGATCCCAGGAAGAGTTTGTATTGTTTCCAGCTCCAGGGGGTTTTGTCCTGAGCTGGTGGGTCTGTCTTTGCTTGCAATCAACAGGCCTTGTAATATGAGAGGTGACACCTTAATCTTGCCAAATATGTGCTGTGCCTTTATGGAGAGAGGGGAGGAGGGACTGAGGGAAGGAGAGAGGAAGAGGGAGAGACCCAGACCGGAGCAGAGGGTGAAACATGCACTTTTGCTCAGAAGGATTGGTTTCCCAAAGGGAGAGCCTTAGCTCTTTTCTGAGTAGAAGACCTTTTTCAGACAATCTCCCTTGAGCACCTCCAACTGCCTTTTCCTTTACTGTTTTTCTTTAGGCTTCAGAGCTAAAGATTTCTTCCTTCTCAAACTAGGGACTGACCCCCCCAGGTCTCTGTTGTGGCTTCCAAGAGAGTGGCAAGGTGCTGAATGAAGAGGCTGGGCAGAAAAAAAGAATTAGAAAGGTGTGTTTTTAAGAAGACAGAATAAAAAGATTATTATATACAATGTAGAGCCATTTTTAAACTGTAGAATATTGTGACTTCTAAGTAAATCCATGTTTCTAAATGGAGATTTTTCTTTTCTATAGAAAGACCGTAGTGGTATGGATAGCAAAAGCAAAGATCAGGACTGGAAAGTAAGCTGGCTGCGAGCTTGTGCCCTGGAGATAGCCCTGGTTAAGGAAGCATCCAGGATGAGATCTTTTAGGATTCACTAGGTAATTGCCCCTCTCCAAGTTGACTTAGTGGCCGTGACTTTGGCTGTCCATCTGTCGACTATATTTTTAGGTTGCTGAACTTTCTTTTTCTCCCTGCTGCATCTGAGAGTAAGGCCCTGACTCCTGAAAGTGATTTCTGAGAACAGGAACCAGATCTTGTTTTTGAAAACCCCCTTTAAAACTCTCTCCTAAAGCAAATTTCCAGAGCGTGCCTTCTGGTTACCCTTATCTTTTGCAATAGCACCACTCTGTGGTTGGAACACTGAACAGAAACAAAACGGGAATGTGGGATTGAATTTTGCCTTTACCTTGTGAAAAACAGCACTTATCTCCTCTATGTTTGAGCTCAGTGGACTGAGTGCTGGTGGTGGGGGCTCAGCATGTGGTGAGGGAGGGGGTCTTGTGCAGTGGCAGTATGTGGTTAATTCATTGTGACATGTTGACCCAGGAAATGAGAGAATTGGACCGAATGGCCTCCAAGGACCCTTTCCGTGTCAAAAACAAGCTTGTTTTTTTTTTTTTTTTTTTTTTTTTTTTTTAACTCCATGATCACACAGCTAGACTTGAATGTTTGTCCTCTTCCATTGCTTTTCTTTTTCTCTCTTTTGAGGTTACTGAAATAAACGCCACACTTTTCACTGATCCTAAAGTATTTGCAAGTTGCATCTTCTGCTGCTGGAGGGCGCTGTGGGGAGGTCTTGCCCTACCCCCTCCATCTCCACCCCCATCCACCCAGACAGCTGCTAGAGCTGATGGAGTCTGGAAGTCTTCGTTTGTCAAACAATTAAAGTGAATGCAAAAGGTGTTTGCACAGGGACTGGGAGCTTAAGGTTCAGGAAAGGCAGCTTCATGCTACCTTTGTGCCTCAGCGCTTGAAAGATTCGTGGCTGCCCACCCATTACTAAATACTGGCAACAGCATTATTAACCAACAGCTACAGGCTGTCAATCCACATAGCAATTCCTCTCGGATGCCCTGGAGTCATCTGTGAGACGTTATTCTTTTCTTTCAAGTTGCATGAAGTTGTCCACAGAAACTGAGTGGCTTGTTTATGTTTATTCAACAAGCCTAGGTCTTCCCCCAAATTTCTATTGTCTTAAGAAAGCACAGCTTTGCTCCAAGGACCAGCATTGATCTCTCTACACAGAATACAGACATCAGAGGTCAACTTCTATCAGCCCTATGTCCCCACTCTGCATTTAATAACTGAGGAAACTCAGAGCAACAAATAACAAAAACAAAAACATAATAATAGACCATGACCTAGAATTTACTGCCAGAATAGATTTTGGTGCCTGAGAAAAGCAGGTTGCCCTCTGCCTTCTCCACTCAGTAGCCATGTGATTTTGGACAGGTTTCTTAACTTCTCAGAACCCATCTGGAATTGGTGAAAACAACACCAATCTCACAGAAGTAATATGAGGACCAAAGGAACTAATTCATATAAAACACTCAACACAGTGCCTGGCACAATGTGAGTGCCAATCCCAATCTGCTAGTCCTTACACTGAAAACACTGTCACAGCACTGGGGGAATGAACTGTCTTTAAAAGAAGCTTGGCTCTGGAATGGCCTGTGTATTATTATTTGTGTGCCACACATACACATTTCATTAATGTAATTTTATGGATGTATATTTTCCCCTTTGGACAAATACAGCAATAAATTAGCAGAATGAAGTAGTGGACATATTTAGAATTTATATAGCTTCCTAACGTGGACCTCAATGTGCACGAAAGGCAGCATTGAAGGATTTCAAAATCTTGTCTTATTCATTATCTGCCTTTCACTCAGAACCACTTCATCATTTAAAAGGAAATTCTACCATATCCTTCAACTCTTAACAGATTGCCTGGTATATTATTGGTTTGTTGTTATTGCTAATTATGTTCTAGGGCTTACATTGAACAATATAATGAATTGCAATGAACAACGGTGAATCAACTCATTTTGTGACATGGCATACATATTCATAATTATGTTTCAAGAAATTACCCGTAATGATAGAGGGAAGGTATGTATTCCTACCACACAGGTGGATATAGAAATCATAATAAAGTCTCCT